TTTTGTGCGATCAAAGAAGTCTTGCAGCTTCACAGGTTATGAGCCCAAAGGTGCTAAGCGCCTTGGGTTCCGTAGCATCGTGCGTCCGCGAGGGTTCATGGATTCGGGCTTGCGTCGGCGACGGAGCAGAGCAGCTTCAGAGGGCCAAGTGGATAGTGTGGCTGGTGAGGATCTAGTTCTGGCATCAAGTGTGTCAGAAGAGACTACCGCTGCTCAGGGAGGTGTCGGGGCGACAGTGTCCCCGTTTTGGTCTGAACGAATGCAGCTAGAAGCTCAGTTGCAGGCAGCAAGGCCAGCTGATCTGGATGAGGTTGTCGCCCGTCTGGAATCTGGACCCAGTAGTGCATCGACGGAGCTTCGGCGGAATGATGGCGAGATGCCAACTCCGAGTGGCCCTCCAGTGAGTCATGGTCCTAGTCCTAGTACGGGCCCTAGGGGGGCAGCCGAATCTACGACGAGCGGTGCGAGTGCGCAGGCTGCGGAACCAGCTCCGCCAAGTTTGGAAGGTGATCCGGACCTACGTGATCCGTCGCAAGCGGGGATGAGACCGGGCGAGCGATTGATCATGGAGCGCATGAAGGAGCTGCTTGAACATGTATTCCATCAGAATTCTGAGCTTGTGGAACAGAATAAGGTAGTTCAGGGTCGGCTAGAAAGGTTGGAAGAGGAAACGACTATGCGGTCGGCTTCGTCGGGTTGCAGTGCTTCTGGCTTTGGTAGGTATGTATCAGCTAAGGAAAGGGGTTCACCAGATTACCATGAAGGGGTCGAAGAGGGTATGCGAAGGGTTTTAGCTAGGAGGGGTCAGGAAGCGACGCGGACACTTGTGCCGCCAGTGCCAATGGTGCCTGAGGCGCTCGGGCACGGACGAGACCTTAGTCCCCCACCTCCACAGCGACCTCGCGATGAATCCTACAGGCCCACAACCCCTAACGGTACTGCAATTCCTTTGGGAAGCCCTCCTGAATCACCTACTCCACAGTTTGGATCGCCTCAACAGTCGTTTTTGAGAATGAGCTTCGAAGGCAACCCAGCTGGATGTATGGAAAGCATGGTTAGGAATTTTACTCCAAGTGGTAGTGCCGCAGTCGGTGGACCCAGTACTGAGACCATGTTGGGGTCTATGTCGATGGGACTGTCTGGTGCTCCTGATGCTCGAGTGGGCTTCGGTTCCTACGGACAACCGCCGACCCCAGCTATGCCGATCTCCACTCCTTGTGTGTCCATGCCGGTGGCAAGTGGCGGCCATGTTACCTCGTCACCCGGGCGGGATCCGTATTCCCCATGGGATCGTACGTGGTGGAAGCTTCCGCCCCTTTGAAGAGGATGCCTGTATAGCGGCAGCTGATTGGATCACCCAAGTCACTCCGGTAATGGGGGATTTGTCGCCGGCTAGCGCGGTGTGGTGGCGTCGCGTGGTGGCTACAGCTCAAGACGCCTACAATCGATGGCAGGTGGCAGGGGCGCTTGAGAAGGCGAGTGTAACATGTAATATTCCACCTGAGCTGCAGGATGCTCGGTATGCTCGTCTAGAGTCTAGGGCTGTTGGTATGTTGCTGGAGGTTTTTCCGGAAGAAATAAAGCAACGTATGATAGCAGACGCCGACATGTCTGCTGCGAATGCTATGTTTCGGTTGTACTTGGCCTATCAACCAGGAGGCCTTAGTGAGCGGCAGCGCTTGCTGCAAGGACTAACGGATCCTGGAACCGCAAAGTCAGGCCGAGATATGGCGAATCGCCTTCAGAAGTGGCAACGGTGGCTTAGCAGGGCGCAAACCCTGCTCATAGCGGTTCCAGACGCAGCGCTCTTACTGGCAGGGTTGGATAGGTTGGCAGCGCCTCTTTTGGCCACCCACCCTCAGGTAGCATTCCGATGCAACAGTGCGAGAAACATCTATCAACTTGATTTCAGTCCCACCACGGCGACGGTAATGGGTTATGCCAGGCTTCTTCAGGCAGAGGCGGAAACTCTGGCATTGTCGGGATCGGATGTGGATTTGTCCGCTGGTGGCCCCAAACCTCCGAAGGCTCCTAAGAATCCTAAGGACCCTTCTCTAGCCAAGGTTGAAGAGACAGGAAAAGGGGGTAAAGGAGAAAAAGGGGGGAAGGGAGACTCGAGTAAGGGTTTGACCAAGGGTGCGCCTTCCGAGGGTAAAGGAAAGAGCAAAGGGAAGGATTCAAAGCCAGAGGGGACTGTACCTTCAGCTTCTGCCAAAGGTGTGTGCAAGTTTTATCTTTCTGCCACAGGATGCAAGCTAGGAAAGAATTGCAGAATGACACACGACACGCAACGGGCACAAGCAGAGGGACGTTGCTTTGCGTGTGGATCGGGCAAGCATAAGATAGCGGATTGCACTAGGCCTAAAGGTGACTCACCGGCTCAGGCTGAGGGCGCCTCACCGTCAGCTAAAGCTGTTGGTCAGAGCGACCTCAGGGGGGAGTCTGCTAATGCTTCATCAAGTGTTTCGGCCACTGCACCCGCAAATCAACAGTTTGTTCCGCCAACGGTACAGGATTCTACCAGTAATACTTCTGGTCAGGGGTCTCAAGGGGCTGGTAACTCTGGTGCGGGGAATGCCTCGGTGAGATCGGTGGACGCTCAAGTTTCTCAGGACAGGCTTGTCGAAGAGGCTATTGGGTTTCTTCGGGGGTTCAGGTTGGCGGCTTTGCAGGGCTCACAGAGTGGGGAAGACTCTGACAGTCAGGACTCCTCACAGAGCTCAGAGACTTCACAAGCCCGCAATAAAGATCCTAAAGTAACAAAGATCAAATCCCAAAATCCTAAGCATAGGACCTGTCTCTTGGACGGAGGGGCAACCCACTGCATGCGGACGGGCACGCCGTCGGAGTTGCAGCTTGCCACGCCAACCCGGGTGGGGCTAGCTCAGGGTCAAGCGCACATGCATGTGAATGCTCAGGGGACGTTACTCACGGACCAGCTGGTGCAACCGATCTGCTCGCTAGGATTATTGGTGAAGGAGTGCAGGTACAAGGTGTCTTGGGATGATCAAAGGTTTGAGCTCCGAGGCCCGAACGGTGAGCGAATTGAGACGAAACTTCGGGGTGATTGTCCCGTAGTTTCGGAGAGTCTAGGTTTGGCCATGATCAAGGAGATCGAGGACAAAAGACATGCCAGAGCGCTGCGGCAGCTCTATCTTCGGGTGGTCAGGCAGAAGGCTACAGAAGTGGAAGAGTCGTCGGAGCTGAGGGTTGCGGGTGTTACTTTGATAGAGATGCTGGAATGGCTTAACCGGGAGGCTGGGGATCTGGGAGAGAGCGTGCTATCGCAGGTCCCTCCAGAGAGTTTTCAGGTAGAGCATCACTCGTTGGTGTTAAATCGCCGCAAGCGTCGGGCCTGGGATCGGGCCGCGGGGATAGTTGTTCATCTATTCGCGGGTCACATCACAGGTCGGGATCTCAAGGGACTTCTAGCTGGAGTTGAAGTGCTATCTGTAGGGAGTGAGCTTGGGCGTGATCTTAGGGATGATAATCTCTTTGCGTATCTGCTGGGCCTTGTTCGTGATGGCAGGGTAGTGGGGATCATCGGAGGGGTGCCGCAGAGAGGTGCAGGCTTGGTAGTCCAGGTTCTGCGAATGCTCATGTTGCAGTGGCTATGCGAGCAATTACATCCAGGTAGATCCCTGCTCGCGCTTCAGGGCCTAAAGAGTGTGACTCACTCGGAGGCGCGGGAGCACCTTCCGGGGGAGGAGCGTTCTCCTTTGTGTCTGTGGGAGCTGCCAGTCATTCAAAGGATGCTCAAGTCGGGTGCATATCAAGTAGCCGCGTTCGATGGGACTAATCGCCTCTTGACCAACCAGGAGAAGTTGTGGCAGTGGCTTAATGGGCAGCACACGGTTTTAAGGCCAAGTAGGGATGAGGACTTAGGTGTGAGGCTTGAGCGATCTAGAGGGTTTGGGAGTTGGAGTCAGGGGCTGTGCACGTGCGTGGGACAGGCTCTCAAGCACCACTGTGAGCAGCTCTCCTTGATGGCTCTAAACTCGCAGGCCCAGACCGAGACACTGAACTCCACGCCACAGGTCCATGCTCTTTCCAAGAGTCAGCTCGCCTTCAAAACCCATTGCGAGTCCGATCATGTAACCTTTCGTCCTGATTGTCAGGTTTGTCTCAGTGGGGCAGTTAAGACTCACATGCACTTCCGCAACAAACATAAAGCACGGAACGCACTTACACTTTCAGTAGATCTTGCGGGACCACTTGTGAGAGCGAGAGACCAGGAGAGTAGTCCGTTGCGACCTGGTGATCAGATGCGGTATCTATTGGTTGCGACGTTGTCGGTGCCTTGGTTCGAAGGTGGTAAGCTGGTGGACCTTACTAAAGGGGACTCCCACAGTGATCATCTTATCCCGCCCGATGGAGAGGATGAGATGTTTCTTGCCGATGGCATGTTGGATGGATTGGGAGGTGAAGTTGAAGGGGTTCCAGGTGAAGAGGCTGCGGGTGTCGATTTAGGGGAGGTCTTCACGATTGATGCAGACGGCGAGGAAGGTCCCGAAGACTCGGTAGGCACAGTGAAAGCAGGCAAGAAAGCCGAAGAGCACGAGGCATTTTGGCGTAAGGAGTGTGAGCGTCTGCAACGGCCTTGTAGAGTGCGACACCTCGTATTTGCGATCCCCATTCGATCTAAAAATGCTCGTGTGGTGCTGTCAGCTATTCAGCAGCTGTTCTCGAGGATACGATCGCTTGGATTAGGAGTTCGTCGCCTTCACACGGATCAGGGCACTGAGTTTCGAAACGGGCTGTTGGATGCTTGGGCCGAGGCCCGTGATATCCATCGTACCTACTCACTACCTGGAGACAGTCGTTCGAATGGTCTCGCAGAGCGAATAGTAGGTCAGGTCAAAGCAGGGGTGCGCAGTCTGCTCACGGGTGCTAATCTCGGGCCGACATATTGGCCTCATGCAGCACGCCAGTGGAGCGCGCAACATCTTGCCCGAACGTTGCAAGAGCTCGGACACAAACCAGCTAAGGCTTTGGTTCCCTTCGGCACCCCCGTAGTAGTGAAACGTAGGGAACTCCCTGCCGACAAGAAGCATACTTTCAAGTCTCGCACACTGGTCGGAAAAGCATTGGCTCCTAGTGTTAGAGTCCCCGGCGCCACTGTTATAGAGGTTCCAGACGACTCTGGCGGTACTCGCCTCTACACTGCTCCGGTAACGTACCAGCATGTGCGCACGCCTGCGCAGTTCGCGGGTCATGAGGCTGATCTGCTGCTTCCTCCTGGTACCCGAATACGTAGAAAGACACCGGATCCATTGCTTAGTGCTGTAGCAGATGACTGCCCAAAGGAAGGCAATCAAGCATCGCTTATTGGGGGGCAGCAAG